AAAAAAAAAAAAAAAAAAAAAAAAATATACTAAAATTGCAGTACAGGCATTCGTCATTCCATCAATAACCGTATCATAGATTTTTAGAAATTTAGTGGACTCGAATTTGGTTTGTGGCGAATCGTGTATGCACGCGGCTACGTTCAGAAATTCGCTGATGCGGTTCGCGGTGACGCGGAAACAGCCGCGATTGAAAAGGCCGCCCGTGCGCGGGAATCAAAATACAGTTAATTCATCCATTATGTACGAATAGGTTCGTCGATCAGCCACTAGGTGGCTCTTATTTATGCCGGTCTCCGTAAATTTATCGCCGCACCTCCTCCCTCCCCTCCCACAGGAAAATCCACAGTTCTGCCCGTTAATCCACAGTTTATGCTACAATAACTCATTATCGAGTTGCAGATCCGGTTAAAGAGACGAGATGCTCGCTTGAAATTCAGGTTCCTTGAACTTCAGTTTCCCCAAACTCGAAATATATAATCTGCCTACAAACGGAAACGCTTCGATTTCGATTTGATCTCGATACGACGAAAATTGTTTTTGGACTTGCTATTTCTAATGCTGATTAAGAGAGATTTTTTCTTTTTTTTTGTCAAAATTGTATTCTTTTTTATTATAGATCTATTCGATCTATGTGTAATATATTTTATGCATTTTTATTTATTATCAAGAATAAAGGAAAAAATTCGATATCTCATCTTGTTTATTTCTCTGAATATATCGTGGAATTCATCGTTTCGTATAAAAAAAAAAATTCGATATGCCTGGTTTCGAATTGGTAAATTTCATGGTTTATTATTCCAATGAAGATCAATCAGGATGCAAATGTTCCCTCCTCGAATTTGCACGCACTGTTGAACAACGACATCAATGGCGTTTTATGAACGAGCGGTAATGGAGCTGAAATTAAAATTCATCTAGCATTTCACCTGCTCCCCCCATATTACTTGTATGGGTACCGTTTAACCCAACACGCATGGGGATCGAAATTTTTCGCCATGCTTCCTGCTTTTCTAACTGTGCCACTCCGTTTCGTTTCCCCATTCGCCGTGAAATATATTCACTAGATTCCTCTTTTTAAACATAATATTTCATTAAAAGCTATTGCTCCTCTCTTTCTAACGAAATTTTTTAATCAAAATCCGATTATTAGTCGCTGGAAATCAAGCACTTTTTCCCAGATACGAATGCTTCTTCATTTGTTTCCTTTGTTCCATTATTGATATAAATCGTGTCAAAATTTTAACCTCGAATCTTCCAAATATTTCATTTATCGTTTCGTTATATCCATCGAAAAGAAATTTTGGTCAAAAAGCAAAGATTCATTTTCTAATTCCTTTTTTTATCTCCAAAACCTCAAAAAAGAAGTTTCAATTAAAATCGATCAGTTACGAAACACGTACCTATATATTTACAAACGCATCTTCTTCAGTCTTTAGTAAGACACTCATCAAAGTGTCTAGGGATAGAAAGTTGCTTTAGGCGGAGAAAGTGACATCCAGCGGTCTAAAAGGGAAGCTAGAGATCTAGCTAGCGAACATAGATGTCCTTCTCGTGGCCCAGTATATCAGCAAATTAAATACCGTTTAACGACGGAAGTCCGGATCTTCGATAGGAAGCGCGCGGAACCGCGTAGTAAACGTTACTAGCGCAATGGTTCATTTAGTAGCAAGCGGCGGTTGCCTTCATCCGGTTGGGGGAGAGGTGAAAATATTGCCGACCGATGGCGAGGAAGCGCTTCGACAGCGTGGCCGCGTTTCCGGCCAATAATGATCAGCCTCGAGAAACATTATGCTCTCTCTCTCTTTCTCTCTCTCTCTTTCTCTTTCTCTATGACTCGGTGTTCGTTGGGGAGAGTGTAAAGGGCGAGCCTGAACGGTCACGCGAGAATCGATCGTACGACAAATGGAGGGAGATATCGGTTTGATTTTGACAAAATTGGGGGACCAAAAATTTTTGTTATAGCAATAAATTTAGTAAAAAGAGATTATAAAATATATAATATATTGTATTTTAATGGCAAGTCGAATTTGATTGAAAATTGAAATATGAAATATTTATTGCAAATTATATATTCAGTGGTATTTTTTTTTTTTTTTTTTTAGCAAGTTATATAAGACCCTTGATATCATAACCGCGATTTTGAAACGTATAAACGATTCGTATCAGGTTTTACTGGCGATAAATTTAGGATCCTAGAGAGCTTATGAGGTCGATTCAAAGAAAATCCCTCTATTCCGCTATAGGCATTAACTTTAAATGGGAGGAACGTTTCTTCTTTACCTTATGGTGAAATGTAGATCGTATTTTATGCGTAGTTACGATCGTATTTTTGCCTCTTGATAATCGTGTTTATTGGAGATTTTGTAGCTCACTTGAAAACAGTAACAAGTTTGAAGTCGATGGATGCTTAAAAATATGCTCCATGTTCTAAATTTCTTTTTGTACTTGTATATATTTTATAAAATTTCTAACTTAACTATATATATAATCCCAACAATATTTCGATTTATTTACTTTTAATAAGCTTAATATAAAAGCATATAAATTTTAAACTGAATCTCTACCAAACCACTTTCCTCTTTAACTACTCACGTTCCAAAAGCCACATACTTAAAACTGACCTACAACATGCGCCCGTAACACTTAAAAGCCAGCTCGCAAGCCACTTTGCAATAAAACTTTCACAACTTTCGACCCACGTTTCTCCCAGCTCACTCGTTGATTAACTATTCCACGCGGTAGTCGAGACGGCGAGTAAGAAACGTGAGATCAAAGAACAGCAGAGGGCGGTAGTGGTAAGAGTCCAGGGAAGGGAGTAGCTTAGCCGACGCTGTTACACGAAAATTGCATCGTCGGTCGAAAGAAAGGGGCGACGAAGGCGGGAAGGGAACCGATTAGAGAAATTAACGCCTGTTCGTTATCTGCGCGAAACACTAGCTCCTTCTAGCGGCAGTACAGTATACAAAATTGTATTTTTGCATTTGGTTCGACTCGACAAATCCCTGAATCCAAAGCCTCGGCGGTCAAGGTCCCTTTTATCCTGGAATTACGATTTATCTTTTCGAAAGCAGATGGAATAAAGGGAATTTAGCGTGAAAGAAAAGAAGCAAAGTTAAAGATGGATCATATTGTTTCCACGACGTGTATTGTTGATAGTAAAATGTGTAGATATTCTACTGATGATTCTGAGATATTGAGAATCAATAAAATCTAAAAGATTATTAAAAGATTAAATGAAAGCTGGAAAGTAATTAAGAAAGCGATATATCATGGAAAAATAAGAAAGTAAAGTACTTTTTATATAATGACGTCTGATGAATGTCAGTTATTTCTATTTAGAAGACTTTGAGATAATTTTTTGTATAAATAAAAATGTATAAAAAAAAATGGAATTATGATTTTAATGTAGGAGAAATTGTTATTGGAATATTATATTATTATTGGAATTATAACAATTTACAGAATATAGGTTATAAGTTAACTATAATATGGCCTATATGGCTAATCATTGACCGATGTTTCTACTTTCAACGAGTCGTCTGAACATTGCCATGCTTATCCACTTTCGGTTTGGCTAATTCTTTAACTCCGTTAACATTCAAATTTATTTTCACTAGATTTTCTTTAAAATCTTTTCTTTATATTAAACTCCAAGCAACGATAAAAATAACAGTACGAAACAATTTTGCCCAGAACACATTATAAGTTAACTATAACCTATATGGCTGATTATTGACCGATGTTTCTACTTCCAACGAGTCGTCTGAACATTGCCATGCTTATCCACTTTCGGTTTGGCTAATTCTTTAACTCCGTTAACATTCAAATTCATTTTCACTAGATTTTCTTTAAAATCTTTTCTTTATATTAAACTCCAAGCAACGATAAAAATAATAGTACGAAACAATTTTGCCCAGAACACATGCCTTAAATGTTATTCAGGATGGTCCAGTTATGCGAATCCATCCTGTGTATAAAACATTCTTGAGTTCACCTTTACTGAACTGTCCCTCGAATCCGGCGTCTGCATTCTTCTTCCTCTTCTTCTGTCCGCTCCATGTCGCTTTCTCTCGCGTGTCTGAAAAGCGGAAGGAAGAAAAGAGGAGAAGATTGCAAAGCCGGATCGGCCTCGAGGAGACCTCGCCAGCTGTTATTTCTGCATTCCGGTAAATCGAGTCGGGAATCCAATCTGCCTGTTTGCTACTGCATCCAAACTACCCTCTTCCATACCCACGCCTTCTTTTTTCCTCCCTTTTTTCTCTGTCTCCATTCTCGTCTCCCTTGTTCCACGCGTTCCTCCTCCAGCTCTTCGAGACGGATTTTCCCCGCTGGACGAAGGAAAATTCCTGTAAAGTGATTTTTCCTTAAATGAATTTTGTATCTTCGGTTCATTTACCTCTTTGAAACGAAATTACTTTGAATATTGATTTTGAAAAACCGTATTTTGCAATGATGGTGTTTAAATTGATAAAGCGAATCGTTTCGTAAATAATTCTTATGTGATTCCGCAAAAAAAGAGAAAGAGAGAAAGAGAGAATGATCAATCGAACAAAACAGATCCGGTTTTTCCACCTTCAAATATTGCTCTCGTTATTCCGAACATATTCGAGGTATTTGTTGTTGATGCCACTATAACTCGAATCGGCTATTAATAATCACGAACCCACTTTTTTCCATGAAATTGTGAAGAGGGAATCGAAACGATTTTATGGAAGACACGTTGTTCGAGGAGGAAACGAATCGTTCCATGCCCACCGCCATTTTTCCTCCCGTCGAACTAGAATGTTTTGATTTCTACATGGGTTTCTAAAGTTATCGTTACGACGGTGCATAAACTGGCGAGAAAAAACGCAATAGAAGCACACCTTTTGAAGAAAAATGATCTTGCAACAAGATTTTTATATATTCAAAGAATGTTTCTCAAAACTTCTTGCTTTTTGATATCATATTTTCATTAATTATTCATCCTTAAAAATAATACATATATAATACACGTTTTACGTATTGTACATCATATTAAGACAAATTGAATCTCTAAAAATAATTAAAAATAGGAATTTTGTCTCTAGAAAGATCAAAACTCAAGCCATTACTTGCAGTACGTAGAAAGAAAAATTTCTAATTATTGATTTTCTCGTTCAAATCCTGAAATTAAAAGTAATTATTAAAATAAATAATTTTTTAAGAAATTTTTAAAATCAAAAAAGTAAGGTTTTTTTCAAATTTCCTAGAAAAAAAAATATGGGAAAATTTCTTAGAGAAGAATCTCCTCCTCCTTAGCCTTTCTAAGGTTAAGTGTTAAATAAAGAAATTTTAGAAAGATTTCTGGACGATTTATTTGAAATATTGGTAAAAAGAGGTATTACATTAGTATCAATGGATTAGAAGGAACGATGGACGGATCGATGGTAAACATTTCATTAAAACCCGCGGAAAGAAAGCGGAAGCACAAGGTGGGCGTGGGTGAACGGATAATCCTTCGATAATCCGGGAATCATTCTCGGGAATGAATCGCTCTATCGATCTGAGGGAATATAATTGAAAAAGTTGTTCCTTTGCTCACGCCGATCGAGTTGCCTGTCGTTCTCAGCCGACTTCACCTTTCCCTGTCTCGAATCAAAGGGTGAATCAAGGTGCTAGGAACAGGATGGGCTGGTTGGGTGGGGCGAAGGAAGGGGGACGTGTTTCATCCTTCAACCCATTTCAAATTTCCGGCGATTTTGATAATGAAAGTTCACTGTCTCCGCCATCTCGTCGAGTTTCTCTTTTAATACGCGATTTGCAATTTGCAACTTTGTATTATACCTCTTAAAAGCGATATAAAGATGATATAAAAAAATATTAACGAAAATTTTAACGAATATTTAATGAGAAATTTTTTGGATTAATTAACGAATATATTT